TATTCAACCTGATTTGCCTACTCAATCATTATGACCACGTATTTGTATTTGATATGTAATCGATGCCACTACAGTCTGTTATTATTATGTATTGTTTATAACTCATAACGTACTTGTATTTGATCTGTAATCGATGCCACTACAGTCTGTTATTATTATGTATTGTTTATAACTCATAATGTATTTGTATTTGATCTGTAATCGATGCCACTACAGTCTGTTATTATTATGTATTGTTTTTAACACATAACATATTTGTATTTGATCTGTAATCGATGCCACTACGTTTTGTTATTATTATGTATTGTTTATAACTCATAACGTATTTGTATTTGATCTGTAATCGATGCCACTACAGTCTGTTATTATTACGTATTGTTTATAACAAATAATGTATTTGTATTTGATCTGTAATCGATGCCACTACAGTCTGTTATTATTACGTTATTGTTTATAGCTCATAATGTATTTGTATTTGATCTGTAATCACTACATTCCATGACGCGCTACCCAGACGCCGCTGCAGTCGCTAACCTGTCTGCTATCCATCGTGGACACACGAATCTTCTTAACGGTCCTAGGCTTGCTTGCCTGCCCCACGTTACTCTTGCCTACCTCCTCTTTCTTTGGCACTTGGGTTGGCAACTGTAAACAAGATCAAGCAGCTTACAACACCTTCTGAGATGCATACGCACGCACGCGCACGCACGCACGCATACGCACGCACGCGCACGCACGCACGCAAACGCACGCACGCGCATGCATGCACGCATACGCACGCACGTACGCACATGCACATGCACATGCATATAATACAGCAGCAATATGACTATATTAATCATTACATCATTTTAAATACAGACCATATAGTCTGTATAGTACTATATAATGTTTGCCAAAGTTTTTTGTTCGATTCTTCATATTTTCATTTGAAATTTTCTTTGATCAAAATTTGTTAGCCTGTGATCTAGATTTGATTTTATCCGATCTTTTCCTTACATTTTTATTTTAATTTATTTTCGTTTCAATTTTAATTCAATTTTTTACCTTTATCATAGATTTCATTTCATTTAATCGCGCACTTCTCACTCTACTTCCGCAATCGCCCCATACATTAAACGGGAGGCTCGTGGCGCTACCTGGTGGGCAGTATGCGCAGGAGCCGCGGCGGCGGGATCCGTGCGTTTCTTCGTGCTCGCCGTCGGCGTCGCAGCATGGCCGCCGCCGCTCGCTCGACTCTGCGTCTCGACGGCTCTCCGCTCAATGCGCGCCCTGATCGTGCGCTCTGTCTCGCTCACTCCTAGCTCCTCCTTGTGAAACGTCTGAAACGCAGCGCAAGCACGGTATTAGCCAGGAATGAGTGTTGTGGGAGTTCAGAAAAAATATTTGGGAGTGCAATTTTTGTGTGTGTCTCAGCCAAGACCGCCGTAGGTGATCACGGGGGGGCCTCCCACAGAAAATGTTAACTTTTTTCAAATTTTTAAATTAAAATGATTTTTTTTGACCGTGAAGTTTCAAAACTGACCGTGCAAATCATGTCTGCATGGCTCGCTGGCTAATACGTTGATGCTGCATGTGGTGATGTGGGGAACAGATTTTGTCTCGCATCCAGAAAACTCCTCTTCTCTGTCTGTCTATCTTGCTCTCTCGCTGTTCTCGCTCTCACGCTGTCTCCGTTTCTCTCTCTATCTCGCTCTCTCTCTCTATCTCATGCTCTCTCTCTCTATCTCCCCCACCCTCTCTCTATTAATCTAGATCTATCGCTATCTCTCTCTCTCTCCCTCTATCTCTCGCTATCTCTCCCCCCCTCTCTCTCTATTAATCTAGATCTATCGCTATCTCTCTATCTCTCCCTCTATCTCTCGCTATCTCTCCCCCCCTCTCTCTCTATTAATCTAGATCTATCTCTCCCTCTCTCTCTCTCTATA